TGTCCTTACTCTAATTCAGAGCAAAAAGTAAAATACCTTCTTAAAAATAAATAGTTTCTGTTATAGATTATTTCTTCATTCTGCTTAAATTCCCAATCATTATTGAAAAAGCTGTTGGGGAAAGTTGGAGGGATGAAAGAAGAAACACTGTAACAATTGATGCCTGTCATCTAAATCCAGTTTCCTGTTAATCTAGTCTATAGCTTTAACAAAAACTACCACATTTTAAGAGGGAAATCTACTTTCCTTGAAGAGAAACATATTGACTGTATTATACAAAGAAGAGGAAAAAGGGTGATGAAAGGAGAGGAAATGGTATAAGGCCACATCATTTCTTTAAAAAATGATTGAATGAGTTGTGATTTATCTGAGTTTTAAGTGGTTCTTGAGTTATCTTCTTGGGAACAATACTTGCTTTTCAACCATATTTAACAAATGCATAGATTCAAATGGAAAACTTTTAGGGAGAATAATAAATATTATTAAATTTTCCTGTTAAAAGAGTTCTAATAGCAAAAAGTTCTGTGTTAGTTTTACATCTGTATTGTACCAGTGTACTTCTGCTGAGGTCAATGAAACCAACTCACACATTGCAAATGAATCAGAATGAGGTTTTCAAATATTTACATGTCTTTTGCTTTGAAAACTTGATTTTTACATTATCAATTTATAGCATTTTATAAATATTTTATAAATACTTTTATTTCTCTAGGAAGCCTAGGAGCAGAAATATTTTAAAGCAAAAACAACACATTATTCCACTTTACAGAAACTGTACAAACTTTTGTCTTATTCCTATAATTCCTGTCATTATTTATTATTATGTGTATTTAAAGATACGAAATCCGTGATGATCATACCTTGAAAATACGGAAAGTCATGGCAGGAGATATGGGCTCATATACTTGTGTTGCAGAGAATATGGTTGGAAAAGCTGAAGCCTCAGCAACTCTAACAGTTCAAGGTAAGGCTGTTTCTTTATCCAAAACTCTAACCCAGAATAAAGGAAAAGGATTATTTTCATGCAGTGACGTTGTTGTAACTATAAGTAACTTTGTGCAGAGTTTTAAAAGAAACCGTGTGGAAATACCATTTTGTTTTGAGTAGTATTTGTAAGAAACTTAAGTATTTCAGATTCATCTTTCTTTTCTTCTCCTTTTCTTCTCCTTTTCTTCTCCTTTTCTTTTCTTTTCTTTTCTTTTCTTTTCTTTTCTTTTCTTTTCTTTTCTTTTCTTTTCTTTTCTTTTCTTTTCTCTTGTAATTGGTCTTTGCAGAGCTGGGATGGGGAAGTAAGTACATTTTGAGATCCAAAACTCTAACAGAAAGAAAAAAATCAGTGTTATCAAACCACATCACTTTAACTTGAAAGAAAGTCTTATTAATTTAAGTATCTGCTGATTTTTTTTCAGTTAAATGTGATAAAGAAGCAGTGTATCTTTTAATACGTTAACCCAGACCACTGGCATTTCTGTAACCTTTTCATTACAAAAGCCTATCAGAGTACTACTGTTTCTTTGTGAGATAAAAATTCAGTGGAACTCCGTGAACTAATATGTATAAAAATTCTTCATTGCCTTTATATACACAATCCAGATGTTCACCATTCAGATAATCCCTCTCTTCCTTTCCTGGCTAGCAGACAGGCAGTGATGTCATTCCGATGCTTTTCTGCTCAGCACTGATGTTCCTTCTGTCCTTTTCTCTGCTTAGTGGGAATTAGTCATTATGGAGTTCGAGGGAAATACAGGTTTTAAAGTATTTTATTTAGCAACAGGCCCCTGTTTTGACGCATTTACTGTAACAGGAAAGGTCTTGTCCTTAACCTACTCAGCTTTTTCCAGTGCCTGACACAAGGAACATTTGGTGTCCTTAACATCTGTAACTGGTAGAAAAATATGGGAAGGAATTCTTTTGTTAAACTTCTCATAAAACCAAGCATTTTCAGACGTTCTGTTTTGTTAGTCGTCATGCTGTTTATGCATTAAAACTGATACCTTATGTTTGCAAAATAATCAGCTTTTATGCTTATTTTTAGAATAAAAGATTAACACGTGAAAAATAAGCATAATTCAGAAGAAAAAGACTGAATTATTTCAAAATCAGTGATTTGTTCTGGAGAACCCTTCTTATTTCAACTGTTAATCTTGAAACCCAATTAAAATGTTAGTATTAAGGAAACTTGTTTTATGACTGGCTGAGCAGTTACATATCTGGAATGAAGATTGGTAGCCCTATTCCTTCATAGTCATATTTTCATAATAAGCAAATACAGTTTTGTAATTGTGTTTAGGTTAATGGTTCTACACAGATATAAAATGACCTAAGTATGTAGATATTAGAGATCTAGAGTGAGATCTTCTGAATTTTAGTAAAACAAATGTACTTTTAGCAATAGGCTCATAACCTAAGTCTTGATTCAGCAAAGCACTTCAGCATGTGCCCAGTTTCATTTCTGCTTTACAAAGCATGTTAAAAAAAATCCATGCTTCAACCATAGTTAATCCATGAGAATAAGACATACATTCAGTTAGCTTCTGTTTGAGCTGTTCTCTAAATCAGTACTGGATTGGAGAAAGGGAAAACTGGTCCAAGGCTTGGGATAACCAAAAGTATTCCACTATTTTTCATGCCACTTTCAACTGGCATAGGTATTTTTCAACTTCGAAAATGTACTACCTTAGTGCATTATCTCATGGGGTTGACAGTTTAAGAATAAAAGAATATATTCAGGGTATAGATTTAGGCTTCATCAAGATTTAAATATATTCACTTAATGTTGTGGAGGATCATCTAATGGATGCTTCATGCTCAAAAATGCCTTCTCATTAGTCCTAATACTGTCTTGTTGAAATTCAGTATCTCAGCACTTGCCATATTATTGGTGATATCTTGATTCTGAGAAAAATTCTACTTCTTGAAATTTTATATTTGGCATTTCATCACAAAGAAGGCTATGGGAAGACAGCAGACTTTTTAAAATCAAGGGTTTTTTTCTACTATTTGGTAGATTAGCAATAAATAGTACTATTGTATTTCAGAGCAGCTGTTTATATATGTCACTGGTGTGGTTTATTTCCTTTGAGTGTTTTTTTGCATTTTTTTAAATTGAATAATATATTGAGGTAGTAAATATACCATTTACAAATGCTTATTGACAGTCATCATTGTACTGGATCTGTAGTCTTTCCTGGTGCCTTTTTTTTTTTTTTTTGTAAACACTTGTATTATACAGTAGATATTTTGCTCTGTGGATGTTTTTATGGGCTAATTTGTCTCCCTGTGTGAATGGATTACCTTCCAAGCCAGTTTTCTGAACTAATGTGCTCATAGAAAGGATTGATGTGAGAAATTGTAATATCTGGGACTAATATGTAGTTTGTGATGCGGTGAATTGTAATGAAAGTTCATTTATTAGCATATCCAGGATACCTGAAAAAGTATAGGACTGCACTAGGAAAAAAATGCTTCCCATTCAGATTTTTATCACATTTTTCCTTTCTCTATCTCTTCTCTCCTTTTCCTTTCCTTCTCTTCCTCCCTGTCTTCTCACCTCTCATTGCCTTCCCTCTCTTCCTTCCCTTTCCTTCTCATCTAAAACATTTTCTTTTTTCCTAAAGGCTGAGCTTATTGACTGCTACATTTTGAGAGAGATTTGATCTTGTTTTTTAGTGTTGAGATGACGTTGATCTGACAGTCTTCACAGACACACAGCTCATTGAGGAAAAAAATATGTATTTTTTAATACAGATAGTATTTTCTCTAGCTGATATAAGAAAAGGAAATGACAGGTCTTTCTGTGCTTTTGGTTGGGTGTAAAGATTAAAAAATGAGGATGTGTTCAGTTTTGTCAGCATTATTTCTGCTCCATCTTTGTAAATAGAGGGCTGTGTTACAAACCACAGGCTCAAAGAGTGTATCTGCCAAAACAGAGATTCATTGAACTTAGTAAAGGTTAAAGAGATCGCGCCTGTTGTTGTCTGAGACAGGCTGTGGGGATTGCATGCCAGACTACCATCCAAAGAAAGAATACAGGAATTACTAGTGGTAACCCTAGAAGAAATACGCCTGCATTAGGAAAGGAGCAATCATGATTTGTAAAAGTCCATGCAATGGAATAGCTATACTAACTGAAAAGCAGCATATAACCATAGGTTGATGAAATATGGTGAGCTGATAACCTTGTGTCTCAACAGAGAGCTAGCCTGCACCTAGCTGTCATGTTAGCTTTAGCTCAGCACTGACCCTGCTCCATCTAGCACATGTCGGAGCACATAAGACGTGCCCAACAGTGCTCCACATCTCAGGAAAACTGCACAGCGCTGCATCTGAGCTGCTGATGCTGCTGTGTACAAGGTCTGCCTGGACCTGTGAAGTAGAAAATCATCAGCTCAGATAATTCAGCTATTCAACAACTATTTATTTGGATGCTAAAATCCCAAACCCAAATGGTATCATCTTAATTTTGCTTATGGCACTCAGCATCACAGAATCTGTTTCACCCTGATTATTGGAAGTGGTATTTCCCTCCCTTCGAGCTCCAAACTTGATGAATTGTACATGTTTCCTCTCTTTAGGTGATGTGCAGATGCAATACTTTTATTGCAACTTCACTTCTGTTACTAAACTAGACCTGACATTCTTTTTTGGCAGGAAAATCTAAACCCTCTTTTCAGTCTTTCACTGTTGAAACTTTAAAGCGTTTCTGTCTTTGAAACTATTTGTCAAGTTAACTTATTTTCTCCTTTGAGAAGTAAATAGCAAAAATTTAATCCTGATGTTGCTCACATTATGTTAAAATCAGAGCATGTCAGTCCACTGTTTTCATTTAGTAGCAATATGTTGCACATATGTAAGGCATCCAGAAGCTTTACTAATACATGTAGAAGAGTTTCTTTCAGGAGATGACTAGTTATTAAAATAATACCTCAATCAATAGGAACTACTAAGAAACATTCCAGAGAGTGCAATACGTTATATTTTACCAATCTGCAGTAAGTAGTTGATATGCTTCAGCAGAGGGAAATGATGGCAGAAAATGTACATCTGGGCCCACCCCATCTCTCTGCTGCTCTCACCCTAAGCAAGTTGGAAGTGTTTATCGTGAATGTATTTCATATATTTGCAAGATGCTTTTCATGTTTTATTGGGGATTTCAAATATGTGTTTTGCTTAGCTTGATATCTTGAAGCAGGGCTGCAAATATGATATTATTGTGTACAATTTAATTTGAAGCTCATATTCCTAGGACATGCACAAAATTACCGAAAATACATGCCTCAGAACTGAAGTTCTAAGATTTGGCTTTGCCATTGATGGAAGTCACAGTAGGGCTGTTTCTGAAACCTGTGAATTTCACATTTAATCATGAAAGCTCTTCAGAACAAGTCTAACAACCAAAGGTTTTGCAAATTTTGCCCTACTTCCATTTGCTTTGCTGCCATTTGCAGTTCTTAATTACGCCTTTTTTAGCATCCAAGTTTATATTTGGTTTATGATTTTTGCTGAGACAAGTTTTCCTCTCGGATACAACTGGAAATTGTGGTTCTAGTGGAAGTCTTTCTAGGCCGTTGGCAAGAAGCACTGTAGCAATGACTGTAGTTACTTCTCAGCAGGAGGTGAGAATTCCTCTGGAAATGACTCTGGCAAACTCATATTTTACAGCAGTGATCTCTGATAACGAGGGATTTTTTGGCTTATGAGCTCATTAAGTTTAGGGTTAGCAGAGCTTATCTGTAAGGCTGATGGCAGCCAGAGCGTTCGATAAATGACTCCTGGGTGCGATTTGGCTGCACTAGTCAAACAACAAAAAAAAATAATGCAAAAAGGCGGCACATGCTTAAGGTCTGGAATTTCCTACTCTTTGGTACTAAGTAGCTTCAAGGCATGCTATAAAGGTCATCTATCTGACTGGGCTTCTGGGCAGGGCTGAGAATGTCACCCTGAAGGAAAAGGAATAGGATTTGC